CATCACTTTTTCTATTCTATTTTTTTTGTAAACTAGTTCATAACGGAGTAAAAGTCGAACTACACATATATAGTATTTGTCTAGACAAAGAAGAAAATAAAGAATATCCGAGCGAAATTTCTAATAATAAAAATCAATTTTTTTGAAAAAAAAACTTGACACATGATTACGACTGATTGTTTAGAGTTTGTCGTAGTTCTCGTCTTGAGAATGTATTAATAATGACAATCATTTAATGTTCTCTTTTGCTTTTAGATGAATACGTGATCGGTAATATTTAAAATTTGATTTCAATAAAATATTAATGTTTTTTTTCTATTCTATACATTAGATCGTTTAAGTAATGGAACTTATCGGAAAAAAATCAATGAAATATGTTATTACTTTTTTTTCTTATATATCTATTCATTTTGTTGTTATTGTGTTTATTGATAGGCTTCTCGATAAAAAATATGAATAGTTTTTTTTTATTAGTAAAAGTTAAATTTTTAGTTATTGCATTTTACGGTAGGTTCTAATAGAATAATTTTCAATTTCTATTTTCGTGTTTTATTCATTCATGATAAAATGATTTCCAAAACAAAAAATAAAAATTCACGTTTGTTGGAAAATACGAAAGATAAAGAATTCAAAAAATCTTCTATCCAATATACTTGAGAATAAAATGATTATATGATGATTCAAAGTATTGTTTAGAATAAGTATTAATAAAAACAAAAACCTTTTGATTCTTAGTTCTTTACATTTGATGCAAGAGTAATCTAAAATGCGATTCTTTTGCTACTTGAATGCATATGTTAGATATTCCTTCTCGGATTAGATTGAATAGCTATCAGAAAATTTTGTAAAGAAGTTCAAAATTGTATCTGTACAAATCGAAATAGCAGCTTTGGCATAGTTGTTAGGTTTTATCTTCATTCAACAGAAAAGACGCGGGATGATAGAAGAATATCGAAATTTGATTGGCTAGTCATTGACCAATGAGATTAGCTCTTGGGGAAAATTATCGAACAATGATATTCGAAACTTATTCCTCTTCCGATCTCCACGAGTCCGACATTCCTGGTTTGTTCCGTTTGAGATTTTGTAAGACATTTCGTGAGACTTCCGGTTTCAACCGATTAACCTATGGTCATACGGAAAACAACTGTGCAGGACTAATTCATCCATGTTGTGTCGAATAGTCATTGTTGTTGTTAGATTTGACCTAATCTGACGCTGTCATCTCAATATTTCTGAAATGTCGACTCCTGAATACTTCTTTCGAGAGTATATCACAGTTATAACAACTTTACCGGAATGGTACAGGACGCGCATCTATAAGCATAACTATAGGTTTGGAAACTTTACAAAGGAGCCCGAAGTTGACGGGGGAGACAGGTTGTGTTACTTAGCCAAAATGTATCTTCTCTAGATCTTCTATTTAAAATGTTAAAATCTGGGAGTTTTATCATAGATACTTTCCGTTGAGATGATCATTTTTCTGTAGCGTGTTCTGTTTTTTAAGAAAAACTCTACAGAAAATCCTAATTTTTGACGCTGTTTTGTTTCATATATCTCTATGAAGTCCAATTAAAATTCAATCCTTTGAGATTTCGGCGGTTTGAGATAAAATCCTATGACTTTGGATCTGTTGCACTTTTAAGATGCTCTCTATACTTAACTCTGAAACTTCCATCTGTGTAACTTATTGCTAAACCGAAGAGCAAAGCCATATTTAACGTCTACTTTCCACTTTTTGCGTAGTTACTAGTATCCCTGAATTTTTTTGTTTTTCACCAATCCTTTTTCATTGCGAAAGCGACCTCAACATGGCGAAAAAAAAGCATTGTTATATCTTTTGTCAACAGCATATAGAAGTAATTGTTTTTCGGCGAAATATCGCTCTCAGGATAAATTTTGATTGTTTTTATTAATATATTCCTACTTTTTTTGTTTTGCCCGAAAAATATATGTTATATTTCAACAGAATTTCAATATTGGTTGCCTAGATGCCAAACATGTACATATTATTTTTGAAACATGCCATTATGTAAACAAAGAAAGTGACGGCATACGAAAGAAATTCAATGTTAACAATGTCAGGCTTGTGTTATTGTTACACCTTCTGTAGTTATTTTCTTTTTTAATCGTTCTTTTTTTCTTTTTTTTTAATATTTCTAAATTGCATCAGTTCAAACTAGACACTGTTAACTTCATACTCTTCTGTTATAGTAATTTTATAATCGGTTCTTCAATCATTTCACCAGGATTCATCAAAACTTCATCTTTTCATCCAACTGTGTCGCATAATAAAGCACCGATCATATTAGGAACCATCATATCTCGAAAGGAGACCAAAAACACAAATTTCAAGTGAGTAAAAAAAGGCTTGTTAGTACAGTCTCTTTGGAGTTGAAATGTGGAATTCATATATGTTCTTTAGTCTTATTAAACTAATGCCAAATAGGTAAAGTAAAAATATCTCTCACAGACTCTAGTTGTTTTCCAAGATGAACTATCAGCATAGTAAAGGTCTGTCTTATTGATTCTGTAGTTGAAACAGAATTTTTTTACGGCCACTTCGTTTTTTGTTTATATTATTAGTATTCGTGCGTTATTTTTCTTTTTCGTTCTGCTCAATTTAGCATTGTTATTGTTCTAAACATTGAATTAAACAGCACATAAGGCCATTGCAAATATGCATCATCTCTACAGCAGCAGGTTTTCACGTACTATGATACACTACTGAAGAAAACTATGAGATCACCTGTTTGAGTGTAAATGTTTATTCTCTTTCAATGATTTTAGACTCTTCACAAAAGACTGATCAAAGTGACTGCATGCATTTGAGTGTGCAGCACTTGAATATTTATTCACATTTCCATAGTGATGCCATCAAGTTTTAAAAAACAAATGTTTATTAAAATCTGTCGTTTTTTTGCCTGATCAAAATTATAGGTCCACTATTATACTGACAGTAGCTTTGCTGAAGAGGCACATAAACAGGCGGATAAGCATCTTCCGAGAATTTTCATACAAAAGAGTTCGAAAAGCGTCTAGAGTTGAATTTAAAATAAGATTTCATAGATCAAGCCAAAATTGCTTGACAACATCGTCTACGTTTAGTGTTTTCGCTACGAAACTAGAAGTAGAGATATTACTGATTCTTTTTTTTTATAGCGAATTCGAATAGAAAATATTTTCTTCTTGGAAATGAGAGATTCACGAGTTCAAGACAGTATTTCTGATCCAGAGATACTTACGGTAGTAAAATACGTTCCATATGTTTCTCTAGAAAACACTCAAACTGCGTTTGGATGTATTTCTTGTTTCATCATGAAAGTGAACTTGTGATAACCCGCTTTTGAATAGTTTTACACGCGTTTTGAGTCTGGTTTTCACGAGAATTTATATTCAGAACACTATTGCTCGGGATACTGCTGTTTGCTCGCAGCAAAAATACTGAGCGTAGACGATGTTTTCAAACAATTTTCACTTGATCAATAAAACCTCATTTTAAATTCTAATATGAATACTTTTTCGAATTCTTTTGTATGAAAATTCTCAGATCTATAATTTTGACCAGGAAAAAAAACGACAGATTTTAATAATGTTTCTCAAAAATCTAAGATCATTGAAAGAGAGTAAACAATTGCACTCAAACAGATGGTCCTATTATTTTGACGAGCATTGTATATATATCGACCACTTTCGAATATTCTAGAATTTTCGCGAACAACCGAAGTCATGTCATTAATGTAGGACATGGTCTTTTCCCACTGTAAGTCAGTAATACAGAGCGAGGAAGAGCCACAATACTTCAACCTAAAACTTACACACGCTATTTTCTTTGAAGACACGTGTGAGTTCTACAAAATAGAATTTCTTTTTCTGACGCAACGGAAAAAGTAGTAGCATATTTACAATCACAATGAAAATTTATCATGGGAGCAATCTTTTCGCTGAGAAATATGCCCTACTAAATAGCATTGACCATGTGTATAACACTGGCTATTTTCTCAGCAAAATCGCATTGGCCAAAAACAAAAATTTTCAGGAATGGCATTCATAAATATACTGATGAATATCTAACTACAGTACCGGCTGTAGGAGTCCCGTGATTTTTTATGACGGATCGGTACTACGTTGCAAAAAATTCCAAAGTATACGTCAACAATGACTTCGCCGGTTCGATCCAAGAACAAGCTACAGACCTACAACTTCCAGCAGTGAGTAAAGGACAGTTAGACAATGCTCAAGAAGTTAGAGATTTCGAAATTCTATTTGACTTTCACAGAGACATTAGACAAAAGAAAATATTCATTGCTACGGGCAGTATTCATGGAGAACTTCTCAGACTTTTATCATTCAAAACAGAAGAGCTAAGCAAGCTTAATTTCGGCTGGATAATCTAATCTCTCCCTTAGCTTTGAGCCTCTTTGCAAGATTTCCAATTCGTTTGAACCTATACATATGCTTATAGACACGAGCTCTGTTCCATTCCAATAAAGTTGCTGTAATTAATATGTCGATTATAATTCGTAGAACGCAACGTTTGTTCCAAGTTTTCTAATGTATCATCAAAGAATTCATTTCTTAGTGTACCTTGTTTCCTACAAAGTTGTTCATGAAAATAATTTGTTTCTTTTAATGGAGATTTTCGATCAGAAAAATATCTTGATGAATGACAATTTTAATATTTTCTCTTAGTTTTTTTTTTAACTTTATCGCCTGTTGAGTGATTCTAAAAGAAAAGTTCACTTTCTCCATAATTGATGCTGACCTAACCCGTTGAACGCTAATTTTTTTAATTCAATAAATTAATATGAATTTAAAAAGATCTTTCCCATTCAATCAAATACATTTCGATACTAAGCTTTCATATTTACATTTCATTTTTCTTACCAATCGTAGAAAAAACACTACCGATTGTAGTATTACTATTTTTCGAGTATTATTCTACTTCTGTTACTTTCAAAAGAGAGCTTTTGTATCTCATGTATTAAAAAATTCAAATTTTATTTAAGATATCCTGTTCCATAAGCAAAAGTGCCATTACTATCGACACCAACAAGAAAATATTCTTGATGAAATCCTCCTGTACCCATGTCTGTACATTGAACTGTTGGGTTACATGTTGATTTTATCATATGACCAATACAAACATATGGAGTCATTGTCGACATTTTTTCCGCAGCAAAAACAAATATAAAATGTTCATCATTAGTACTATTTTGAGCAATACCTGCTACAGCTACACTATGAACATAACGATCAGTTGTATTATATCTCATATTACATCGAATAGCTCCTCCAGCACTAATATTTCTGAATGGATGCATGATAACAGCAAAATTAGAAAAAGCATTAGATGCCGATACAAACATATCATCATTAACAGACATTCTTGTACCTCGAACTACATTGGTTAAATCATATTGACACCATGACGTATGATAAGAAATAGTAAGAAGAAATAAGATGCAAATGAACATTTCGATCTTAAAGTATTTGCCTTGTATTTTATGCTAAAAAAGAATACTATAGTTCATGAATATTTATATTGACAGATAATGAATAGAAATTTGTTTTGATCGAAAAATAAACCTGAAATTTCATGTTCTAACATAGCAATTCTCTAAAATGTATTCATTATGTCTTCCCGAGCAACATTTTTATGAAACAAGAGGACTTACAGAAGACCTGAATTTTGAATACATGAAGTAAAAAACTCTCTCTTGAAAGTTATACAAGTAGAATAATACTCGAAAGATAGTAACTACTATAATCACTAGAATTTTGTATTTTCCCACTATCGATGAGAACGATCAGATGCAAATGGCAAAGCTTGATTTCGGAATGTATTCGATTGAATCGAAAAGATTTTATAAAGGTCATATTGATTTTCCGAATTAATAAAAGTAGTATTGGACGAGTTGGGTCAACATAAATCACGGAGAAAATGTACTTTTTTCTAGAATCACTCAATAGGCGATAAAGTTTTAAAAAAAGACTACCAGAGAATATTCAATTGTCGTCCATCGATATATTTTCCTGATCAAAAATCTTCGTTAAAAGAAACAAATTGCTTTGATGAACATTTTTGCAAGAAACGAGGTGCACTAAGAAATGAATGCATCGATGATTGACTAGAAAATTTTGAACAATTGTTACCTTCTACAAATTATAATCTATATAGTTTATGAATGCTCAATTTCTATCATTGTCTTTTTACCGATTCGTTGTTTATATTAATAAAATCATATCTGCTATCCATTACAAAATATAATGTGCTCTACTGTATTTCGACTAAGTTTTCATAGAGACAATGTAGAAATCTGTGTTTTTCACCATTCAACAGAGAAGACATGGGACCATCGAGCTATAGCAAAATATGAGTTGCCACAAAATTGACCAATCAAGTGAGTTCTTGCTGAAGATTTATGAAAACAAAATTCTGAACCTTTTTCTTTTTCGATCTATACCAGACCAATATTCTTAGCTTTTCTGTTCTTAAGTTATAGGAATTAGCATAACATAGAGAAACAAAAGGAAAGTTTATTCTTCTGCACAGTTGAGCAAAATTCATCTCGAATGCTTTTCCTGAGAAATCAGTACAGTATTTTCTTTATCTCCATTTTCACTTGGTTATTGCAATTAGTTAATATCGTGTGCATTCTTTTAACTTTTTCTAGAAGTCGTGATTTGTGTTAGTTTTTGCATGTTTCAAGTTGTACTTGAAACATGCTCTTTCCAAGCATGCTACTAGACATGGTTTATGAGTTGAAATTGCACTTATAATCCAAAGTTTTCTGAAAAATCTCTTACAGTATAAAAACGTTTATTTTGTGTTATCAAGCCAGACCCTTTTCAATTTCGCCTCCAATGCTAAGATTTTGATTCTAAATGATGTTATTCCGAGAATTCACATACACTTCCTTAGTTTCAAATGGATAGAGATCATGAAAGAATAATTTCTTGGTCGAATTCGGCTAACAAACCATGAAAGCTCAAAAAATATCTCAAATCTTGAGGTTTTGAAATAAAATATTTCTGATAAATCCTCAAGTACAACGAAAAAGATAGAAAACAATTAGTATTGCAACAAAATGTTGCAACTTAAGGTTTAACACACTTTAAAAGAAGAGAAAATATTTTTTTCGCAAAAGAGAGTCTATAATTATGTGACAGTCATTTTTCAGTTTTTTCAATTTTTTTCTTTAAATAAGAAGCCACCAGAGAGCGAGACCATGATATCAATGAGTACTTACATAATCTCACATACACATACCAGTAGCAGATCAAAATCATTCATTGTTGAAATGAAATAAACATTTTTGTAGGCATATATAAGAAGAACTTATAATTATACAGGGTGGCCCAAAAGTCATGTTACCCAAAAAAAATTAAATATCTTCCTTATGGCTCGAGCAAAGAAGCTGATTTTTTTATCAATGATAGAGGCATCTTCAAGCTTTATATCTATAA